TCGGTAAGCGTGCGAACACCAGCTGTGCTTTGCGAACGTCCATACCCAATCCAAGTGAACCCTGGAACTGTTTTCGATGTAGACGAAATTTATGTCCTCCTCGTGGGTTTGTAACTGCTTGCAAGAATTGTGCGCCCTGTACTAGCAGTAAGCGGCACCGAGGAAGGATAGTTTTTCATCTTGCTGCTTGCGACCAGGTTAGGTGTGCCAGTAGGGAACTTTACGAGGCTTCCGGGAATGGGAAGCACCGCGGCAGCGTGAAGGAATCAGCCGCTTCCTCGATCAGCTGTTTCCTCGCAAGACTGCTTCCATAATCATCTGTTTAAGGTTGTCAGGTGACCAGCGAGGTGATTGGCACCGACCATCGTCAGAAATTCGTAAGGGAACCCGAGCGCGCTTCAGGAAAAATGGACGATTATAGGACGATGAAGTTTAGGGGCCCTATGCTGATGAAACTACAGCAGTTCATCGGTCAGCCGTCAGCATGTGCTGGAAGGAGAGCACCTTGTATGTTCCCAAGCTCACCTGTTTGCTCCTGTCTCGCTTCATCCGTCCTCATCTTCGTGTAGCCCATCGAATACAGTCCGCTGTGACCGACCCCAATTGCCTCCTGATATCCGAGCTTAATTTCGTGCACCGCCTCGGAGTAGTATTCACTAGTACTACAAATTGGTGACCCCGATCTGCACGCGAACTGGAGCCCTTTTCGTCGTGGTATAAATAAATAAATTAATAAATACATATTTTATTCTCGACAAAGCGAGACACGCCTTTTGAGCATGATCAGCATATTGCATTATTGTACATGATAGCAGAATAAACAACACCCACAGTGGGAGTAGTACAGTTGGAGACAGTAGTGTGGGCTCATAGAGCCCAAATGTTGTATGTAGTCTATGTACACAGAATGCGCGAGGTAAAGATAGTAATCAGATCACTTATATGGGATGTTGATGAGGAACTAGTCCGATGAGGTCCCGTAAGCAATGTAGGTCAGTGAGTGAAGTATGAGGAAACGGGTGAAAAATACGTAAGAATAGTGGTATGTCACTAATCAGATACGTAGGCGTGTTCGAGCGAGCGCAGATATATACACAGAACTAGTAAATGTGGTGTCGGTCAACTTGCCAATGTGTTAGGGGCGGTGAGTTTATTGAGTGGCGAGTCACATCCGCCACGTCGCAGTGTGGTTAAACAGACATTTGTGGCTTTTTGTAGGGAAAACGCTTGCCAGACGAAGACCCACCACGTCCTGGAACACTGCCGGCTGTTGATATAACATTGACAAGATTGTATCTGACCGATTACCCTCGCGGATATTCGCAGTCACGTAACTCCAATTTGTTTTCCATGGCTGTGTAGTCGCCTTCGGAGTCCAGTACAAGTGGTTGGAGCTGTTGAAGTCAGACAACACAGGTAACTTGCATTAAATTGATCAGTTTCCTAGGTTCTTTAGTGTGTCATGATTATGAAGTGCGGTTTTTTTCTTTGTTCTTTATTGAATCCGTGCCCATGGGAGCGTCGCAGGTAGGTCCTCAGCGGGGTTCGGTGCAGGTACTGTTTATCCCTGTTTATCGATTATATACACTTATTCATTCCTTTCTTGCGTAATTCTAGTAGCTTCATCGTGCTTTTGTTCTTACTTGATCTTTCCGATTCGAATTTCGAAAGTGACATCTAGATGTTATCCAGCTAAGTTGTTCCGCAGCATAGTCTTGCCTACATTGGCTGTCCAATTTTCCTGGAGCACAGCTCAGATGTTTGGTTTGCCATATTTGAGATCGAAGTGAAAAAACGGCATCGCGGCGAACCGTCTGATGAACAAGCAGCTCGTCCCACGCTTTCTTTCGTCGTTTGTCGCTGGTTGAGTACATTCTCCTATGCTCATCGAATAAGGCAAATTATGGAACGACAAAGCCAGCGCTTCTAAAAGAATTACAGCTTAGCGCATGAACTCGACTTCAACAGCCCATTGGCCTCAAGCTTGGAGGTCGCAAGCCGTCGACGTTGCTCCGCGTAATTCAGCGCAGCGCTGGTCCCTTATTCTTGTGCGAAGAAGAGATAAAGGACCTGGGATTTTCACGTCTCCCAGAGCCGTTGCCGTGTATACGGTGAATGTTTCTGGATACGCCTCTAAAAGGATCAGCTACCAAAGCAGGCGCTGCGTTCGAACGTCTTCCTCAGCAGAGGACCAGTAACCCCGGTGCCGTATTTTCAAAGAGGAAAATCAAGTCTCATAATTGCCTCAAGTCGTCAGGCCTATCTGCCCATAAATAGGTGAAACTTGCGCTACATCACAGCAGGCTAGAAGCAGTGAAGGCTTTGAAGCAGCGTATGTTACGGTCAGATGCATACCAAGTTTTGGCTATTGTTCATTGCGGCTCGTCTGTGCCTACACCGAGTACGTCGCGTTCGACGGAAAAACCTAGCATTTTCGCTGCACGTTCTCAATCTGACAACGCCAGATCCATCGAAGCATTATGTTGGCATCACTGCCAATATGGTGGAAGAGCTAGACGTCGTCGAGCTCCATGCATTAGGCAAGATTCAGCCGCTTAAGGAAAAGCTAACAGCCCGCATACCACCACCAACGTATCCGACAATAACCAAACCAATTGTTTGTCTAACGTTAACGATCGATGTTCTTTCAAGACGCTCCTCATCAACACAGTTGCGGAAGTCAGCGTCATTCCTGCGAACCCAAATAACAAGCACTCAGAGCATACTTGCAACCTACTTATTGCCAACGGTCCTCCAACAGCATCATTTAGTCAGCGCATAATGAACCTGGCTTCAATCTTCATCGCGAATTTTATTGGGTCTTCTTGGTTGCATCCGTATTTTTCGCAATTATCGGTATCGACTTCCTCCGACACTTTGGTTGCTTGTTGAGCTTGGTCGCCATAGACTTTTAGACGACTATACTAACCTACGAGTTGAAGGCGTTCTTACAGACGCCCCGATAACCAGTCCCGGTTTTCGAATCGCCAATGTGCCTTTAGCTTATGCGAACCTACTGTCTGGATATTCGCGACTGGTACGACCAGCTGCTGAGCTTCCGACATTCACGACAAAATAGCGCATCACATTGTTAAACGCGGTCTGCCAACGAGCGCCCGACCAAGACGACTCGCCTCCGACAAATTACATGCCGCAAAAGCTAACTTCGATCACATGTTTCAGATCGGTATCAGCATACTACCCAACGGTCAGAGTTGTCACTTCTCCACATGGTTTTGAAACGGAGTATGGGGGACTGGCGTCCTTGTGGTGATTATCGATCTCTAGGCAAGGTAAACACGTCTGATCGCTATCCTATCCCACATATCGTGGACCTCACCGCTAGTCTAGCAGGTAAAAGCCTTTGCAAGCCAACGACTTGGTGCGCGCTTACAACGAAATTCCGGTAGCCGAAGCGGACATCGCGTAAACTGTCGTGACGACTCCAGTTGGTTTCTTTTAAGTTTCTGTGCGTGCCATTTAGTCTTATATATGCCGCGCAAACTTTTCAGCAGCTCATCGACCAAGTTTGTCGCGGTCTAGGCTTCGCTTATGGCTACCTCGACGACATCTAGTTGCGGGTTTCTTCACGCAAGAAGCACGTACGCTACTTTCGAAACGCGTTTTGTTCGGTTATCTCAACACAGAGTGCCAATAGACGCAGAAGTGTATTCGTTTGGTGTCCATTCAGACAGTTTTCTCGGTCCCCAAATCGCTCCTGCAAAACTCTTGCCACTACTGGATCAAATTTTGCCAGCAGCAACTACGCTGAACCTCACTCTTTCAAACATCTAAGAAGCTTTGATGGCCTCAGCAACTTATCTCGCTGTTTCATACCTTGTTGCGCTTCGCTTAGGCAAACCTCATGCTTATGTGTATTGTGAATTTACGCCCCCCCACCTATGGAGCATCTCATGTCTATGCATGCTGATGTATTGTGTGTGTGGCATGGGTATATTGAACATTGGTGTCGCACCAGCCCATCTACCAGCCGGTAGATTGGTCTTGACGGCTGCCAACATGTGTACACTTGCTGTGTGTCTGTTTCTTGCGTTGTGTTTGTGCGTCCCTGCGTGCTGGATGTGCTGTATGTTTTACCAAGACGATAGCTTTCGTTCGTATTTCGTTTGCTTTTTTCATTTGTATTTGGGAGGTGTTTTTTTTGCCGCGCTATGTTTCATTTAGATATCCGTCATTGTGTTCTTGAGGCGTTTTCCATTGCTCGGGGCCATAACTCTCTGTGTCGCAACGGTTTTGTCTTGATTTCGAATCCGGCGGTATTCTACGTGTGTGCGCTTCTGACTATTCTCAATTGGACGAAACGGTCGTCTCGTGCTTTCCTGTATGCGTGATGGGTGTCTGCCTTCATCTAGCTGCGACGAGTCTACACAAAACCTAAGATATCACCCTGCCGCTTACAGGTAGCCATTTGTCCGACACCCTCCATCTCGGTTACTTGGCTCCAGGAAACTGAATCGTTGCTTTGGTGTGCACGTTCCTCGTGTCCGTGCTAGGCTCAGTGAGTGGTTTCCATCCAGCATGGAGCGGACTATGGCGCAGTCACGTTCTTGTGTTTGTCTGTTTCGCATGAACCCTCGTTTAGATAGACAGGAATGCTTCTACTGTGCATGTTGTAAGAGCGTGGGTCGGCTCCATGCATGAAACGTAGCTCCCATCCACATGCCTTTCATCCTTACTCCTTCGGGTTTATACTGAATATGGGGTGTGTGTATGGAGCTGTGTGTGGTGCAGTGCGAGCCACCCATGGTCCCTCTGTAGGCACAGACGTCCTGTGGCTGTCCCGATGGAGGCCGCAGTGACAGGCAAATCTGGAACCGGATGCCGCCTACCATGTTTGACTCAACTGTTTCCTATTGTACCTTTTTACTACTTCCTGTAGAAGAGGGATTTCCTTCTACAACTTTTGAGCTTATAATTTAAATTCACGACAGTTGGATTTGGCCAAACGTCTATCACCTTTTCCTCAGTAGTGTGATATAGTTTCATTCTCCTGTGATTCGTCAGTAGGACTCATTCCCTGCAACTCCACTGTAAATTTCGATACCTTTTGCTGTGTCCCTTCTTCTCTGCTGCTACACAGATCAAAATACTTTTCATCTCACAATACCTCCGGTCAGCGTACAGCCTATTTTCCAGACGACACATCTGGTAGGAGCTTAGAGGATTTGATTCAAGAGGAGCAGCTCAGATCCTCAGGTGATGTGGAATACGAGTTTGCACAATTGGCCTCCAAGGTATGCATCTTCAAACATCTATGTTCACATTTTATGAACTTGTCCTATCGTCTTAGCTGTACTAGATTTAATGTGTCACTTCCAGAATAAACTCAGGTTTGAGTTACACCGTCTCGTGGTTATACATCTCATTGTCTCATTTCGCTAACCTTCATGTGGTTTCGCAAACTTTTGTAGCGTTTGCTTCAGTGCTTAACAGCATACTACTGAAATAATGCATGTTCTGGTACTGTGCTGAACGGCGTTGCCTAGTCCGCTGTCGCTAAAATTCGTAGTTTGAAAAGGCCATAATAATGCACGAAATTAGTACTATTTGGAGCAGTCATAATTTGCTTCAATTCATGTCGAGCACGAGCTCAGAAAAGTCAGCAGTGAGCAAATTATCTACTTAGAAGCATGGTCAGTTAATCTATCCGTCCATCCACGCACCTCGCATCCACTGGCTCGAACGTTGGAAAGAACATTTCGAATAACAGCTCATTTCATCTGTGGTATCACCATTGCCCTCCATATCACCCGCAATGCCACGACTCAATGCGTTATTGCAATTCAGCAAATTATATTTTTGTGGCAACATCTCATACATTCTCCTACTGTTAACGGATTTTTGTTGTGGCTCACAGTTGGTCTACTCGTTCTGTCCAACTGTGTGCGCTACTCACCGAAAATCTATCCCCATTCTAACCACTCACAACTATCATTGTCTTCTTGAAAAGCGCGATAATGGTTGGCCCGTCTGCTTGATTTGCATTATTGCACCTAAACCCCCAACAGAACTCATTCTTTGACAGTTATGGTCAGGCCGATTCCCGCTCCTGTCGACGTTACAGCAACTTGGTCTATTCGAAGTCGTTAGGTAACGCAGCATGCTGCACATTTTGTCATGTGCTTCCTGTCTTCCAAATCCAAGGGGTTGCAAACTCCCCACCTATTCTCCCCATTTATGTGTAGTTACCTTAGCTGATCGATGGGTAGGCTCGCCCACGCATCTGTTTCGTTTTTCGTAATCATTGTGCTTATCCTCAGGGTGTGCATGGCTTTTTGTCGTTAAAGCCATCTTTGGAGACGGTGAGACATAGCTTTTCCGTCAAAGCAGGATGTGCAATACTGCAATTCAGACGACATTCTTGAGTTGACTGTCGGCATGATCTCTGCATAGGAAACCACATATCCATTAGGACCGCCGACTGAACGTTGCTTGAGTACACTCTTTGGTGAGATATGGCTCATGAGTGTTTTGTGTATTATTTTGGCGTCTTCATGTTGGAATGGGACCAACCTAATCACAGTCCACTGTCCGGAAAACCATACGCCAGGCGGCGCCATGGAACTTTGTAACTACGCACAAAAAGCGAACGGACAGCTAATCACGCAATAGACTGAAGGCGAACCTGTACATATTCGAAGTATTTCCCATAAACCCATGACTTGTGCCTTGCATAACAGAACGTTGCTTTTGTCACCTGATTCACAAAACACGCAACACACATGAAACTTTCACTTAACATATAATCACATGTTTCAACTTTTGCCTGTAATTTGTGCTATTAGCAGTTACCTTTTTGTCCTCGGGTCCTTTGTCCGGTGTAGTGTTCACTTCACCTGATACACCCTGCTTGATCAGAATCGTGTGTTCTGACCTACAACGACACACCAGTTAAGAGTCTGTGCGAAACTCTCTAATTCGGACCACCTTATGGCCATAACACTTCATGGTTCCTCATTGTCCTTAGTTTTAAGCCACAACGTTGGTTTTTGCTAGTACTGAATTAAGCTGTCTTCGCTTACGGACTCGTGCATCTAGTTCCTCTGTTTCCTTAACCTGGAATCTCAACCGTGTTGAGGAACTTGTAGACTGCACACGAAGACGGGTTTTTCGCCGGAGTCTGATACTTTTTTCCGATTGTCCGTAACCCATTGCGATTATGTAGTCTCATCGGTTAGGTCTTAAGAGTAGTTTCCCAAGCAAGCAAACCAAAACATTGGGTTCGCACCCGAACAATTTTATTTGTGGCACTTTACAAGCATTCACGTAGGTCTCTGATTTCAAATCTACGCCAACAAACCATCAGTTATCTCTGTTATCTAACCTTTTCACCATTGGCATGTACATTTCACATAGAAATGCACATTCAGCTGTTGAGAGGCTACCACTTTGGCTGCTTTATGATCCAGTCAAACAAACATCACCTTAATCGCATCGGCACAGACGATCACACGGATCCGTTTTGGGTTGCCACCATACCACCTATTTCTCTCACTTCTCACGAATAGATTCATCTATCCTTACTTTGCCCACCCGTCGCTTTCCATACAAAGGCCCTAAAGATTTGCACAACCACTTAACCTCTTTGCACCACAGTCCATCAATTATAATTTTCCCCATTATAACAGAATAAATTATAATTGTCGTTATCTTCAGCGACTCGCGCAGTCTTTTCCCGTGTATTTCCTGCATCCTAGTCCGGGAAAAATGTGGATGATGAGTATGATGACGCCTTTGTCCCACGCCGTAGCCATGCGGAACGGGACGCTCGTCGCCTCAAACAAGATGCTATAGCAGGTCAGCTCTCATTTTCATTTTTTTCATTTACGCCCAGTTGTTGTTTGTGAACTCACCGATCTATCTGCTTTACCAAACTTTTTGCCACTTTTGGCTCACTGCTTCTCTTTTCCACCGTTGTGGCTGTTACATTGCGTTCATCTTGTGCTCAACCATGGTACAAGCAATACATCTGTGCTTCGTGCCGACGCTTCGCCACTACATAACCATCAAAGCGGGTCGCATGCGGGCTGAGCTACTACGAGGTTATCTGCACATGTACATGCTCGAACCGGTGACCTGTGGATTGCAACTCAGACACCTGAGCCACTTCACCAGCGGTGCTCGAAGTTTGTTAAAGACAGTCGAAGTACGCTCTGATCACACCACGTCAACTTTGGTCATTTTAAACGAGCTTACAGGCTTTATTAGTCTTGTGCTTATCATTGCATGGTGAGCGCCCTTCAGAAACGATCGGGTTCTCAAGTACTCATTCAATAGCCAATATCAGAACATCGTATTCAAACGACGGGGTGCACTGCGCAAGTTGTGGTGACACGAACAGCTGTCGTTTGTCCGAGCGCTCTTTTCGCTAACCGAGGAATAGCTACGTTCGCCTAAAAAAGAGTAGTAGAAAACTCGATAATGACATGTTTTTAGCTTGGGTGAGCCTTATAAAAACCAACTGGACACGACTTTGAAGGTGTGATGCTGCTCCCAGGCGATCGGTTTCTTGACTGGGAGTACGCCGACGACATTGCCCTCATCCGTGACAGCTCACAAGCACTTGACAAATTAGCACTGGTTCCCTTTCGTTTCGGCTTGTGCTTCGCGCCCACGAAACGCAAATTACTTCCCCAAGATTGACAGAGGCGCACTCTTGCGTTAACCCCTATTGGTGATCATCTAGAAATCGTCCAGAAATTTAGGTATCTGGCCAGCTATATTAGCGTCTGTTGCATGGAAAATGTGGTCACGAACCATGTTGCAAAACCTCGATGCGCTTTTACCAATCACCGCCACCTGTGGCGCCGGCGTGACATCGCTCACGCCATGAAGGACTGAGTTTTCTATGTAGTTATGTATTCGCCCCCTATCAACGGCTACGAAACATGGCCAATCAGATCGAGAGACGTTCACCGTTGCCTTCACAGCTTAGCTCATGTCTACACCATTTCCAACCATGTTCATGAAAAGTTCAATTGCATTCGTTTGGTCACGAAGCGAAATCGTTTGTCACCTTCACAAGTTCGTGAGGTCGGCATCGGCCGTGATTGCGCGCAGTCGTATAGTGGCCTCATTGTTCGGCCGGCCTCAGTCAATTGGAAATGTGAAGTGTGCGATGTGAGAAATGTAGATATGTGTGGCCGGACTTTCTCATCCGCGCGATGACGGAGTGAGAATGTTTGTGTCTGAGGACACCAACTGCTGGCTAGGATGTAAGCTGCGCCAATGTCACGGCCGATAATCTGTAAAGCAAATCGGAGTACTTCGGTCAACGATTAGTACGTAACTGGACATCGTCTGGACGCTTGCCCGTTGTAACTATTGCGAGGGGAACAAAATTGCGTTGCGCATAGAATGTTCAGGTCACGGTTGTCTGTAGTGTGACCGGGAAGCCGCATGTGAACCACTGCACATCACCAAGCTGAATCAGTGGATCCTTTATGTCTCGGCAGTGCGGAAGTCGGCTCGCGCCTAGTTACAGATCAAAAGATACACAGTTGTGTTTCACAAACGATATCTTCCAACATAGGTTTATTGAGAATTCACTCCAACATGCGTTGACTAATGGAAAGTAGTTGAGCATGCGAAGGAAAAGTGCTGGGTTCCTCATACAAGGGCATCTAGAGATTTGCTTTCAGCACGTATCAATCGTAGTTATTGTACTTTGGTTCTTGTCTCATTGATGAATATAAGCATCTTCCAACCTGGAATGCGGTTACAATTTTCCAAAAGACCAAAATTGACAATATAATTGTTCCATCATGTTCAACTTGAAGCAACCCTTTTACAGTCCGTAAGAAAATGCAAGAAATGGTAAGTTTGCCCCTATTCGATGTCGACATCATTGTCGGTTATTGTTTTCTTAAGCTGAGATATCCGTAACGGAGAAATGATTTGGTGCATAGCAAGATATGTCTTGATAGACATTTGAAACCCGTGTTTTGGGGCAATTTGTTGCAACGCTTGGGGTAAGCAGCGATAAATCAGTTTTCTTTCATTCTTATTTTCGTCCTTGGAATTATGCTCTCGCAAATTACATCACGAATGCAATATCTGCCACCCTACGTCGTAGACAAATTGACCCCTGCGGTGTGAGCCCTGTAGCGTATGATCTCATTATTCGCGGCTAAAAGGATTGCGGTCCAAGGACAGTGCAGCGTTCACTGTAAGTGTTGTGGAGTAACCAATTATCCTTTTGATAAACCGGTATTGATTTCGCTCAACAGCCATTTCGCCTGACTTGGGCATGTTTGGGCTCACAAACGAGCAATAGCAAACGGTTGGCAGTGCGTACACTTTGTGCAACCGGAGCCGAAGTCACGAACGGATTTACATTGAGAGATGCTATGTGGGAGATGTTATGTGACGCAAACAACGTTTGCCGTAAAGGACACCAAGTTCCAACGGATATAAGATCATTTGAAATATGTGACACCTTCCGTGTGTCGCCTTCTCTGTGAGAGAAGGTATCTTGTATTTCGTCTGTAAACAAGAATGCCATGCCATGTTTCATGATGCTAAAGAGATAATGTACGTAAATAAGAAAAGCAGATTACCAGGGCCGCTTTCCTGTGTGACTTTTTTGAGAGTGAAAAGCATTTGCCTATTGATACCACTTGAATCCTAACCGAGAGGCATGCCGAATGGTAAGTAAGTTGTGAAATAGACCTAGAAATAGAATTTTGCAAATCTGCTGACAAGCGCTGAACGAGCCCTATGTCGAGGCAATAGTTAGTACGTAGAATCTGTGGCATAGTTTCCGTGTCTTAAGAGTGTCAGAAAAAAGAATTATGCATGTACAAATATTCTCAATCGAAGCATGCTAAAAGCAGATGATGCCTTGCTTGTTGTGCAAATCAAGGACGCGTTCATCTGAATTTCTCCTTGTTTACATATATATGCTACCTTTTTCAATGCTGTTTCGTAATGAACCTCAAAGACACTCATTCGAGGAGTGACAGGAAAAGGGTGGCAAAAGCAAAGGTTCAGTGGGTGGTGCAGGAAGAATGCATTGTATTCGTGTTTCTAGCGCTTCAAATGTTGCTGAAACTAACTTTCCGGATTTGGCTGTAAGATTCGGTAAGGTGAGCAAAGGTTCTGAGGCTAGTCGGAATGTTGCGAAGTTTGGACATGCGCGTATCTGTAGGGACAGTTTGCTCCACAGATTGGCATCTCTCACTAAAAGGAGTCGATTTATTTTATTACGGGCAGGTTGCAAGGGTATTGGATAGCCCCATTATTGGTAAGATAGATAGTGGTTCTCGGTAATTCAAGGAAGGAGCTGGCTGTAAACGGGAGAGGGTTTCTCAGACGTCGCAGCCAAAATGGTGCAGTCGAAGATGATGACATCGATTGTGGTAACTCAGGGTTTAGCAGTAACCCATAATCAGCTGGATAAATGATTGTCGGACGTTTTCTATAGCTATTCTGTCTTTTCTTTCTTAATTGACTGTGAATTATCGTACAATACTCCAAGGTAGGCCACACTATGAGCTTGAATAGTTCAAGCCGGGTTTCAGGTAAGTAGAACGTTCCAGTAATCTAGCCTGATAGTTGTCTGGCTTTTGCGATTTGATATAGAATATGTTCAGAGAAATTGAGTGTTTGAATATGTAATTCGCAAATCCGTGACTGGATCAGACGTGCTGATAATGGTCCCGGTAAGTGTGATGGAGTCTTCCGGGATCCGACATCTGTACCCGAGTACGTTAGATTTTTTTGCGCAGAATTTCACAGACGGGCTTTCGCTAGTTGGCTTCAGCGCGGATGGGTCGTGACGTAAGTTACCCTGGCGTAGTAGTAGCAGTGAGCAGACTAGTTTAACATCTGCGAACAAAAATAAGCGTCCATATATTGCGGGATCGCATATATTGTTTATGTAGATTAAAAGCTAGCGGCCCAAGCATGCGTCCCTGGAAAGCATCACTGGTTATTCGTTCTGACGTGAATTACGTCTGTCCCATTTAGACTCTGGGTCCGATCGTTCAGATATGAGCCGACTCAGCTTAGCAGTAGTTTTGCAATACCGTATGATTGTGTCACAGTTAGCAGTAGCTTGTGTGGCACGCGGTCGAAGGCATTTTACATATCCAGACGAATTATGATTATCGCCATTCCTGTCATTCATGATTGTAACATAGTCAAAGAACTGTAGCTGGCAACTAACGTGGGAGCGCCTTAAAATGATGCCATGCCGTGATTGCTTGCTCAGGCTCAATAGTGACAAAAAGTGAGCAGCATTGTTCTTGACTATCCATTGCAAGACTTTCTAGGCAGAAGATGTATGATTTATAGGATGATAGCTTGACATTTCATGTTGTGGGCCTCTTTGTGTTTCGGCATTATGATGGAATGTTTCCACTGAGGTGGGTAGGAGCTGATGTTTAGCGATAACTTGAAGATGTTTAGTTACAAGATGGAAATGTTTTCATCACTGACTCTTATGACAGCTGTGGAGTGCCATCTGGGCCGGGATAGGCCCGAGGATTTTACGGATATGATGGCGTCCTGCACCTCTATTCACGTTACCGGCACATTACAGAGCAGCTCGGTCATCCTTCTGGGGAGTGCGGTTTGGGCATTTGGGTGTCAATTATAAATGAGGGGGCTAAGCTGGAATTCTGCGGCACGCATAAACTGGGTATGTCAGACGCTGATGAGGCATCGTGCAATGCCAGTGTTTCGATTGCCTGATGCGGATCGGGTTTCTGGTCCTAAGTAGCCATGTCAGTGCCCTTGAATTTTCAGGATTTTTAATCGCTCGCATTTCGTCTGCTGCATTGGCGCTTTGTTTC